AATTGATTTTGTCTGTTATTGTATCATTATTATCTCTCCACGAATTCTAATAACAGCAAAAACAGCTGTGCCATCAGAATAAAACGAATCTATTTTTTATTTCGATGGTATCTTGTCAACTGCATATAACCTAGAATATAAGAATGTATAAATTTACTGAAAATTTAGCGTACTTTAATTCTAGTAATTTTTTGGTTGTGTCTAACAGAATAATTCAGGACGCGCGTTTCGTCCCATTTTGGATTCATCAGCTGGATGTACCTGTACTGTCGTGCTTCCGTGGTATAGTGGATAACGCCTTGGCATTTGAAGCGATGGGTATGAGTCTCAGTGCCAACGACATCACTCACTGAGGTGCAGGCACGTCCAACTGATGAGTCTTAAAGAGGGCAAAACACGCGTCCTGGATTATTCTACCAGCAACAAGCAAATAAATTGCCATAATTAACATTCATGCAATATCAAAGCATCCGGACAGGATCACATATGCCAACAGAGGTCGAACAATTCGAACCAATAAATAGTAATACTTTAATTCATTGAAATGAAACAGAATATCAGTCAGTGGTTAAGACGAACAGAAATAGTCATAAAGATTAAGCATGACGGCAAATTGAAGAAAGGTTTATAAGTGGAAACTAGTTTTCGCAACTATTTACATGATTTGATGGAGTTTCCTCCAATAAAAATAACGACAGGAGTCGCAAATAAAATATTAAGGGACTTAACACAATAAGATTACGTAAGTAGATCATCGGATGAGTCCGTAAAATATTCTAAGTTAAGCTCAGTTAGTTAGAACCATTCGATTTGAACCACAGATGGTGCAACTAAATAGGTGTGAAGGAATAAACATCTGAATTTGACAAAGGATGAAGCAATCAAATGAGAGTCAAGATAGGCTACCAAGGTAGACAGTGATCGACAATAGCTTCTTTCCCAACACACAACTTAGGTTTGAGGCGCTTAATGGCTATGACAAACTTTTAAGGAATTGGTCTCCTTTGTTTGCTTATTATTTTGACCTAACTTCCTGCTGACCTGAAGTTTGATATCATTGTTATTCCTCATGCTTTACCTTAGTAGATAGATTATGTCAATAGCAGTCTGCTTATTGACCATTGACTGAAATGAGTGTCTAACTTCTGAAAACTCTTTGTGCTTCCTCTATCTTAGATTCCCACATCTACTTGTCGAACTAACGTTCATAAATATTGATATGAGGGAAGATAAATCCCGCCGCCTCACTAATATTTGGTATTCGTTTAGATGGACGCTAAGTGTGGCTGTTCTATCTGATGTTATTCTAGTTTATTTTGTAGATATCATTGAACTAGTCCTGCTTTACCCTTGTCTTTTGTTCTACATGGTATGTTGTTGAAATGTTTGTTAAGGTTAGAAGCTAAAGTGATTCCGAATGGCTTCAGCAGTCTAGCTGCAATATGTAGTAAGGAAATCCACCTTTTATTTCAAGGATGGCGCTTTGGCTAACAGTGAATTTGACTAGCGTTTTCAGTGGAATTGCAGGGGTACCTATTCTTCAAGATAGTCCTCTTCTTTCGTCTACAAGGTTAATTTACTGCAGTATGTTTTGAGTATTCTGAAAAAATGTTTGCGTATAATCGATCTTTTGTTTTCTTGGGCCATTAATACTGAAATGGAGGATTTGATCAGGTATATCAGTGAAATGTTGAAGAAAACATTCGGTGAATTTCACTCCCTATTGATTTTCCTACTTGTTTGACTTTGAAAAGCCTGTTTAAAGTCCTGATGATATGACCGTAGAAGGCTAGAATATGGCTTATTTGACTGGTTGGTAAATATTTCTGTCAACGTAGTCGTTATTTGTTACCGACATTGAAACATCAGTCACCAGGAATCACTAAGATAGTTGAGATCTACTGAAAGATTGGTTGATACGGATCGCGGTAAAAGAAACTGTTTAGTTGGGGTAAATGAAGAGAAATATCTTAAGGAAATGCAACTGACATTGTAAGACAACTCTAAATCCCACCACCTATAATAAAAAGTAAATGATATAACGAAAAATGTCGACCACAGTATGGACACTGTTTACATCGTTGACATGAAGAAGTACGATAATTACCTCCTTATTTAAAACTTTGAAAGCTACAGGAAATTCAGTACCTAGACTATTGTTTTCCTGGAGATTCATTAAGAAAGCGCACTTATGAGACCGGCATTAGAAGCGTTCGGTTATTCCTACCACACCATCGCTCAATGTTTAGTTATGGCTTTAGAACTAGGGAGATGGAAAATACGCTGACAGCACAAATTTTGCTTGAGTCTCATGATCTTTTTAAAGATCAAATATACTATACTACTACTATACTATGTTGTGACTAAGTATACGCTCACTATTTTTGGAAGAAGGTTAAACATATGTCATAAAATAAGAAGTTAGAAGAGGTTTAAGCTGGAAGATCTAAAGTTTTTTATTCTAAGGTTCATAGTGAATGAACATTTTTTTCGATCGGAGAAATGTACAGTTTAATATATTGAGTTACAGGGGACTTCGCTACCAGATTATCAATCGTGAACGCGATTATTCAGATTAGAAAATTTGTCACTAGAATTGACTTGTAATTCCGTTATATGGAAGGTGTATTCGTCTTGTGAAAAAAATGATAGCAATATATAAAGATCATATAAACGAAATTTAAGAGCAAATATACTCTCATCAAATATTCAAAAATCTATGTAAAAGAGAAGACTGGGTACTAAAAAGATCGATACTCCACTCACGGAGGTGGAGTAATGGACTAATTTCTATAGCTTTTTGACAATTTCGTAGAAAAAAAGTTTACTTCATTATCCAACCAAGTGGGTTAGGAAGGTATGATCAGCTTTCCTAAATAATAACCTAGTCTTATTTCCTCCTTGATGACTCATCACTTCAATCGATGTTTCGCAAACTGATGGAAACCCTCAGAAGATTTTTGAACTACCTTACTTGTACAGCTTCAGTAAGCTTCTTTGATCTATTTACTAATATCATTCACCTAAATTAGTTTACTTTTAATTATAAATGACAATCTAATTAGATGATCAGAAAGCTAACTTTCAACACTAACCTGAAAGCTTAATACCAGGTTCTTACTTTAGAAAAGTGTATGCCTAGATCAAAACGTTATGGGATAATACACAAATATTTTGAGGTCATATTCATCATGGACTGACATTATTTGGAGAAGCATTGAAAACCTGGGAGGAATGAACAGCTGTTTCGTCCTGGTATGGAACTCCTCAGCAGTACCAACCCACAACCCGGTTAGAGATCGAACTCAGAACCTTCAAGGTGAACGCGTTAACCGTTCAGTCAGTGGAATGGAGTTCAATGGTTTCCAACTTCTGTCAATTCGCAATATAGCGCGACTATCATCCAAGGTCTTCAGATGGAATTATGTCACTAATCGGCACTATACACTAATGCATTTTTGAGATGAATGGGGATTTTAGTTTTGAGGTAGTATTCCCACTGGGATTACATGAATAAAATACACCCTATACAAAGGAGTTCAGTAACAAAAAAGGAATATAAAACTCGGCGTTTTCTAGTCTCTTAGAATTCAGGATGAAACATTTTATGTATCCAGTCCTGCTAACGATGTTTTCAATAAGACGCAGTTTTATTTCCAGGTTATTAACAATGCAGAGGTTTCTGCTCCTATTGTAGGAAGTAAAATGTGTCAAAATGTTTTAGGCTGTGAAAAACTGTATGCTAATTCTTCTTCTTGCAGATACAATAGTTTTAGCAAACTAATGGTCAAATTATTGTGATAGGTATATAGAAAAATCCTACATTAGAGTTTGAAATAAATTCATCAACATGTAACTTACTATCTAATTTGCTGACGAAACCTATCTCTTTTGGAGTCTGTTGAGATCATCTCTCATTATGAATAAGGAAACTTAATTTTCGTTGATTACCACCATGTTTATTTATTCAGGTACAACGGTTAGGAAAACATTTTCTTGAAATAACTGAAGTAACTTATTACTTATCTATCTTTGCATTCCTTCCTGGTAGCACTAAATCAAGTTTATTGTGATATTAGATGAGTTATGCGGTCTGGTCATAACTCCTTTCAGTTGTCAAAATGGAAGGGAAGCATTCTTGAAAATAATTTATGATCACTTCGTTGTGCTAAATCATCTAGTGATATATGTCATATACAAAGAGAGGTAGGATCTCAACAATGTGACATACTAACTTCATCTGATGATTACTAAGCAACAACATTTCAGATATCCGAAAGAAAACTAAAGAATGAGTAATAAATATACTATGGTAATTAATTGACACGATATACGGTTGTATAAGGTGAACAGAATTAAAAGACAACAGAAACAAACTGATATTTAAGAAGACGTATGATGATCTCTCCAAAATTAGTCTGATTCGTAGTCCTGTATGCAACTATCCAGTTGCATTATTACTGTCCTTAAGAGTGGTAAGACTAAAATACAGAATATATACACGGAATGACTCCTGATTTCTATTGGAAAGAAAAGTGTTGAAAATATTTGTAGCTCAGGACGGTCTTAGTTGTATTGTGTTTTCTGAGCTGGGTTGTTTAGTAGGGGAGCTTCATCGTCTTTCCAGACGACATCGTCAGCACTAACTTCAGTATGAAGTGAGATGTCAATATCTCTCCATGAGTGATTTAGTAGCTTGCCCTGACGAACTGGTTTATGATTGGTTGTTTCCTTTGACTGCTGATGATTCGTCTATAAAGACGATGAAACCTCCACGACTAAACAACCCAGCTTAGAGAACATTGTACAATCAAAAGAAAAGCGTGGAATTCCTGATTAGGGTTCTTGAGATGTACTTTCTCGTCCCTCTTAATTTATGCTTATCTTAATCAGTGAAACATATTTCTTCTTATGTTGCTTGAGGTTCAAGTTTGAGGTATACAATGTAGATACTATGGATGGGTGGATGGTGTAATCCATCCAGCTCAGAAAATTCAACACAACCAGGAAATCAGTGTATTCACATTTATAAATAAATGTATTCACAAGTTCAATTGGTTAGTTTGTATATGAATAAGTTTCTTCCAAAAGAAGAATAATAACAGCACAATTCCCTTGCTTTAGTTTAAAGAGATGTATGAAAGTATGTTTTAGCAGATTGTACACAGAGTGGTAGAAAAGAAGACAATGTCATTAAGTCATTTTTTAGATAAATATTATTTTATAATACAGTTATACTTTCAGTGTGTTTATTATCAGCAGTCCCCTCTCATTTTATAAATCATTATTATAACCATCATGATAAACATTAATATGAGTTATAATTCAGAAAAGGAATAAGTCTTTTTGGGTTTTCTTTTCTTCTGACTATAACGGACACTCAAGTAAAGACAGGTAGGTTCAAAAAGTAAACAAAATAATAGAGCAACGTAGAAAAAAAGAATAACAATGGTAAATATATGCAAAAACACATCCAGACATAAGATAAGTAAAATAAACAACACAATAAATGACTCAATTCCTAAGGGATTAGAAGTTGATCATAATGTAGACGATAATTTAGCACCAGCAGACGAATAAACCTCATTAAATCATGAACTTAGAACATAAAAATGTTAAGCAACGAATGAAGAAAAAGTAAAATTCAGATAAGGAAACAATTTTTTAAAAACAAACAGAAAACAACAACAAAATGAAAGAAAAAAATTTTTAATAGTCTCTAGGGTTTTTACGAATACTTCAGAATGGTGTTATGTTGTTTGAGTAGAAAATGGAAAGAGAATAGAATAAATATTACCCACTTAAATCAACTTAAAAAAAATTTTTTTTTTGTACATGCTAACAGTTAATATAAGTGGGTAGGCATAGTGTTGTGAGATGAAAAGGGTGATGGTATAAGTTTCAGGTGACCTTGCCCCCCCCCCCTTTATCAACCTATTCCACTCTCACGTTCTTCTTCCCTTGTTGTCATATTATCTGCTAACAGAATCATACTGAATACTTTTCACGAATAATAAAGAAATAAACTGAATGAATTAAGGCGATGAATGTCAATAAACTAAAAAAGAAACATATTGAACTCTGAGCGATAAAAAGGAGACATCAAATAATTATACACGTATGAAAAATGATCAGAATAATAGTATCAACGCAAAAGGTGATATTATTAATATACTATCAGTCATGGGTAGTTTAACCAGTTATACCAAAATTGATTGCTGCAAGTGATTCATTGAAACCTGGTGTGATATTATGCACAGCATTATCAGGTAACGGAATATTTGTAGGATTATCCGGTTGTGAAAGAATTGTCTGCGGATTCGGTTTTATTGCAGTTGACCATAAACATGCATAACGATCTCTTAATAAACGCATACAATCAGATAATAGTGTTTTATCTCTTTGCGATTTAGCATGTTGACATAAACCATGGATTAGAGTGATACCAGCTTTATACCTTTGAAGGGACTAAAGAGAGTTAATGATAAATGGGATTAAACATGGTAAAAAAAGAAAAAAAAATCAAATACTCTTAAAAGATCAATGTTTCACAACAACTAATAGATTAGCTTATTAGTATCTTGAAAATACTATACGCCATCAGTATGCATTTACAGTATATATTTGACAAATAAACATCGTAATCGATTCACTAACTTTTTGCACATTTGTGGAGTAGGCAAGGAACCACCCTTATTGTGTGAGGGCCAACGATACTATTACCTCGAAGAGGTGGAGTGGGGTTCGAACCCGTGCCCCATCGACTGAAAGACAACTCTCTCTAAATAACTGAGTCACAACTTCACAAATAGATTTAAAAAAGCTTTGATCCGTACATTCAGTCCGCCTTGGTTGTGCATGGGTGTTTGAAGGTGGATGATGAAAAGCCCTGAAGTATTTATATTGATTAGCACTTATAAAAAAAACGTTTACGACGTAGTACAGTGACCATTTTGCCTAAATTCATTGATGAAGATTAAGGAAGTGTGGGACAATTTTTCAAATTCTGGCCGGTCTGTTTATTTCGCGTAAAAGTACCTTCCCTGAAATTTGATTGGTGATTTGAACAGTTGTTGGGGATGGCCGTTAGAGTTACCCGGTCAATTTGTGCATAAATACTAATATTTTTCATAATCACAGAAATGTTAGTTGAGGACAATTGGTTTAGGATCAAATAGCAAATAAAAACCATTTAATTCTTATAAATTGGTAGAGGATAATACAGTGATCTGATTTATGACTACTAGTCTCTGTATTGACGGAAGCGATAAGTCTGATGTAGGGACGGTATAACACAGTTAAAGAAATTTCGGGTTTCCACAACCATCTGATTAATACAGAAGGATAAGAAAAAGTAGTAATATGCACATACCAATGCAATTTCACCAATATATTCATCCATTTCGGCAGCATAACACTGTACATACAAAAGAAATCAGTGATAATAGTTTAAATTCTTTTCCCGGAACTAAAGATAAATTCACAGTTATCGAACAAAACAAGCGCACGAATCGACAAGTCATGAAGAAATACAAAAAGAAACATGATACTTATAGATTTTGAAACATAACCTAAGGTTATTTACATTCTGTCGTGTCTAGTAATGGGATTCAGAATGCAGACTTCATCTTATTTGAGACTCATCAATGAAAGACAATCTACATATATGTCATAATGGATGAAAGAAATGGAAATAAGACAATTCTTACGACAGATTCACTGTTTTTTCTTTACTTTATACGACATTTTACTTCAGAATTATTGAGTTGGGTACTTTCGTGCAGTAAGTAATGAGATACACCCATTGTGTAGGAGCTAATGATGCTGACTGGCTCCCAAAACCTCGATAGGTAGAATAGTGTTCGAACCCGCGATCCGTTCGTTGAAATTCAACTCTGAAAACTAATGGGCCACGAATCTACTTATTGAATAGCATTATTTTATGGTTGATTTCAAAAGTCACTATGATAATGATTTACTTCATTTGTGTGAATCATGGAGCCTAGTGAACACATAATACAGTTAAGCCCTAACAACTGCGGAGATTACCAATCACAGTTCTTTTTTAATGAAAAACTAACGTCGCAACCGAAATACCTAAATTTGATTGGTTATTTCAGCAGTTGTTAGGGTGACCTTTAAAGTCACACCGCACATATGAATGAGAAATAACCAGGATACTGATCATCCTTCCTTTTACTGAAAACAGGATAGGAAAGGAAAGACTATTAGTTAATGAGTCGCCTCTTGCGTTCAGTTGGCTTGGTAATTCATAGGCGTGGAAAAGCGTAGGCAAGTAGGACGATATTCAGATGACAGGTTTGATAAGCTGTCATAATCTCGTGAGTGTAAAACCTAGATTTTGAGGTCATGATTTGAAGCACGTGATATCAAGTCACGGCGGGGCGACTCTAAAGGCAACCTTAGCAACCGTCGAATGACCAATCAGGCTACTTAATTTCGGCTGGAAGGGTGGATTTTCATAAAATACAGAAGTCTAATTGGTTATTTTAGTTGTTGGTAAGGTGGCCTTTAAAGTCAGCCATCATGACGTAACTAAAAGGCCACCCTGGTAGCCGTTAAATGAACCAATCAAATTTCAAAATTTTGACTGAGTGGGGTAGATATTTATGCAATAGAGGAATGTAATTGGTTATATCAGCCGTTGCTAAGGTGGCCTTTATTGCTGCTTCAACTGCTGAGACAACTAAATACATTCCTCTATTCTTTGGATAACCACCTTCCTAGCTGGACTAACAAAACCTGGTTAATTATTTCAGCAGCTACCAGGGTGGCCTTTAAAGTCTCCCCAAGTCCAATCCGATCATTTGTAGTTGTAAGCAATATAATTCAAATATCCACCGTTTGGACTGCAGTGGTATAAACAATGAATGAGAATTTCATACTTATGTTCAAGGTAGAATGAAGCTGGCAACTGAGAAATGCTTTATATCAACAATTCGAAGAAAGCTAAAGATGGTCTAAGTAAGTTATGTTTTCAAACAAAGTTTCTAATTGTTAGATTGAGCATATACATAGATCCAGGTTGCCTAGATGGGGGAGGTGGGCATCTTAGGTATAATCGAGATCAGTAGCTGGAGAATCTTGAATTCGGTAACAATAGTGTGGATGTACACAGTCGTTGTCATCCCTAATATTATAAATCTCTTCACTAACCTCTCCTCTCATACACTTATGCTTAACTTTATATCATTCTTTCTGTCCATCTTTTTTATACACGGCTGTTGTGAAGTATGACAACTTGAAAGTATAGCCTTTTAAACCAAACACCACACTGATTTATTCATTCTGTAGTAATTGCAAAAAGGTAATAAGTAATAAAAGTAGGTGCAATGTTCAATGATTCTCAGTACACTTTAGAAGCAGTATATTCTGGATTCGATTCACAACTCATTAAAAAACATATAACTGAAAAAGTACGAATAGTTAGAAACTAATCACTCTGACTTTCAGTGATTTTCAGTGATTCATACAATGCAAGGCCATTTCGTCTTTTTTATGCACATCCGTGCAGTGGGCAATACGACGTAGCTATTGTGTGAGGGTCAATGAAGTTACCTAGCTGCCCAAACCTCAATAAGTGGAGCGAAGTTCGAGTCTATGACCCAACTGGTTGATAGTCGTCTCCTATAGCTCCTACCATTTTGTTGGTTTTCAAATGATCTTATTATCAGTAGTGAATTTAATAACATCTATGAATACAAGTGTTGTGACACAACTAAATCTAATCATGACTAGATTATACCATGGGGTTAGAAAATTAAAACACACCAATGCTCGAGATATATAGTCTACTTAGTGCAAAAGAAAAAATGATAATGAAATCTCTAGATAATAAAGCAGGCCAAGCCGACATGTTAAGACAATGGAAGTATGTGGGGAGTAATATATCAATGGTTTTAGTAAATAACTGATATTTCAATTTTTCAAGGAGATCCAGACCATAATGCATAATAGGTAGTACATAGAATACTAATTATATAACAAAAACTTTAAGCTTATGTGTAATAAACAGGATTGTTCGTTGGAGAGAAAATTAATTCAAACAAACTAATCTGAGAAACTTTATTTAGCAACAATCACATAATTGCTATGAGGTGTGACAACTTGAACCATTACGTAGTAATTTCAGGTCTTATTGTGATATTGCTTAGCTGTTCATCTAATCACATAACGATTTAGCAATACATAAATTATGTAAAAAAGAATATAACAACTAACCTGATCCAATGCATATTGAAATATCAAACGATTTGCAGTAATATTAGCCAAAAGTCTACCAACTGGTTCAATTAGGTCTTCTCGACGTGATTGTCTAGCCAACTGTCTTAATCGAATATAACAACGATGATATAGTGTATTACAGTCAATAAGACCTAGATTGTTGAATGAATTTGAAAAGAGATATGAAAATACAAGTAGATGAATAAATAATTCAGCATCCTAGAGTTTCAGACTATTTAAAATGTAGAGGATTATTTTTCAAATATAGCTTGAAAAAAGTTGACAAAAAAGAAAGCTCAGAGTTGTTGCTGAAATTAAAATCAACTTGCATAGTATATCAATAAGTTTTTACTGATGAGACTATATGAGATAGTCGTGGTTTGGTAGATTGATGTTACTCATATTGGATGATGATTGAAGGTGAAGTGAAATCTTGGTGGTAGCAGTAAGCTGTTGATTTGAACCTTTCCACGATCTAGGTATTTTTATTTTCCCCTCAATCGTCATTCAGTATTATAAATAGATGGCAATGAGAAATTGTTTAGATGATAATATCCTATAATTTCCAAAGAAATGGTTGGAATCAAAGTAGAATGTTTTCCAGTAAACGTAAGCTGAGATCTTCAAGGGTAGCACGACTGCTATATGATGTTCGACCAAATTTTGTTTACTATCTCATAACTTAGGAAAGAAACATGAAGTTACGTAGATGTAATCACAAGATTTTAAAGATTGCAATGTAAAATATTCAAAGTGAAGACAATTTTCAGCGACTTCGTAGATGAAATGCATCCTTGACTTGAGAAATTTATTTGATTCCGATAATGGTGATCGGAACACAGTCTCACACAAAACGGAGTTATAGTTATGAAACAATTAACGGTATCCATTAAAACCCAGATTATTTTCAATGATGAAATTATGTAAGCATACTTACATGTAAGAAGATGAATTTAGTATAAGCTAGTTTAGTACTGTTATTATCCCAAGGTAACTACCATCCTAGTCATTTACAATTGTAAACTATTCGTCATTGTCACATTTTAACCTGGTTTCGCTAATCATCAATTATGTCACTTTGTCCAGCCTGTATAACACCTTTAAAATCTTTTCAACTGGCTTATTTTCTCCAATCATCGAAAGAGTTACACTGGATTATAAATAATACACGAAAACGATATCAGCGAAGAAGATGAAACATTCTCAGAAGTTGTGCATCCACTATTTATAGTTACAATGAGAACATACGTCCAGCAATAGATAACTGGTCAACACACAAGGTTATTTAAAACTGTTTTCAAAGTTATAAGCAATAATGGCATTGACCCACTAGCCAATAATGGACGCATATTCTACTGAGAACTGTGAATACGGATTTCCAGTTTCTGAAAATGACTCACCAAAAAATTTCTTTTCGTTGAATTGTCTTTCAGATACCTGTTTTTCTCACCTAAACCTAATAATCACCTCTCAGTTTTATCGCGAATGAGTTAGCCCGTAGGGATATTATTTATCAAAATGCAGCAGTATATTCAACGAGATCATTGATAACGTTTCATTACTGCATAGTAAAAGAGGCAGCATTATTAAGTTTTATTCTGAGTCTACTTCAATTTATATTCGTACTGAAAATAAGTATACTAGTCCAGAATGATTGGAGTTTTCTTTAACTAGCGGAAAAGTAAGATTATACAGAGTTTTACAACGCTTTTCTCGTTGCCTATCTCCTTTACGGTCTACTGAAGGGTCTTCTGATCAAAGATAAATAATAATAAATGGTATGGGTAAAAGATATATATATAAAGTAATCAACACTTGTAGATAGACAAAATATTAGATATGAGCATTCCACCTACCCCTTCTTATTAGATACAGCAACTTGATTTTAATTCTTAATAATTTTACTGACTTCAGTTAGATAGAAACTTGTGGTCCACACATTTCGGTTATTTTGCGAGATTACGGTGAACTTCTGAAAACAGATTTTAGCTGACACTGACAAAATCAATGTAGAACCTCACACACATGTGCATTGGCTCAAGTTGCCACACCTCACAGTAGTACACAAAGAACAGGTGGATAGAAAAGGAGTGACTTCAAAGTAGACAAAGTAGTGTGAGAGAATAAAAAATCTGAGCATAAAGGTTAGTGTGAATATTCCAGCTTTAGAAGATGTCAAGGAGCGAATACATTTGTGCCATTGTGACCGGTTTTCGGCGTTCATACAAAGAATATTCATCAAGCTTTTCGAGAAAAACATTCTCTACAGGAACGCCAAGATTATTGTCCTGTCACCTAGTCTTTCTTATCAACTCCAAAGCCTTTGACCAGCTTTGTGTGCGTTTATCGATTCACGTGCTCTTGTGGACCCAGGAATGTAGGTCTTTCTATGCGAATATTATCCAGAAAGCTTCAGGAGAACTATCCTGCGTGGTTACAAAGAGATGACAGTCGATCGATAAATGTTATAACTGAACATGGGTGACTATATCTCGAGAACCACGTAATTCGAGGTTATTTATAGAAGGAGATGAAACTGTTTGTTTTATATTCTCTGGATCGCCGGAGCTCCCTCCATTTATATGCATAAACTTGAGCTTTTTACCTCAAAAAACTGTCCAACTTCTTTCAGCCTTTGAAATCATGTCTTTTTTCTGCACTAAAAAAATAAACAGTCTGAGGATAAAGGTCAGTGTAAATATTTAAGCCTTGGAAGATGTCAAGGAGTGGATATATCTGCACTATTGTGACCAGTTTTCAGCCATGTCACCAACAGTCCTCAACCACTGATTCTTTTCGGGAACCCCAACCAAGCAGTCTCCCCACAAGCCTCAAACCAACAGTAAGAGACTTCATGGACTGGTGTCACGTCTTGGTGAAGTTACCATGAACCCTATTTCAAATTAATCCAACTTTCCCCAGCATGGTACGTCGAGGTAAACGCACTTCACCCACCTCAGTCGACTAAGGTTCAAAACATCGTCAGTCGAATTGCCTGTCTTGCCTATTACAACAACTACAACATTGCTCACACGATGATTCTACCAGAGGCGAGCAATGATACGAAGACCCCTGTTGTCGGAACCCAGTAATCGCTTCATGTCTCCTACTTCTAGCGGCAATGTCTCATCACCGTTTAACAGGAGAAGACAAAGTGCAGTGAAATATACTCGTTCTCTGATAGATAGTCGGATATCTTGCCAGTCGACGCCATAGGTGACGCAAGTTGGCAAATGCCAAACGGACCTTCTGTATGATGACTGAGATTTTATCAGCAAACAACCCCTTCAGGCTGATGCGACTTCCCAAGAAAGTAAAGTGGTCGGCACATCCCAATATTTCACTGAGAAAATTTGTATTAGACCAGTCTTGGAGCATCATTTTACATTTGACAGGTGCCAGAGAGACGCATATCAAACATACTCATATTTCTGCTTAACGCATTCAGAATATCCTTGATTTTGTCAGGATCTTTACCTAGCAGGACAATAGCATCTGTATGCTCCTCCAGTGAGTAGACCGATCTCTTTGAAGTAAGACTTATGTGAAGTTATGTCCATTGCTACGCCGGTGACAAAATTAAGCAAGAATAGTGATAGGAGACACCCCTATTGGATACCACTAGTTGTCATTAATTTAGATGACAAGTCTTCATAAGCCAGCCCTTATACGGCTGGGTGAGTTCGAGTAGAGAGCTTTAATTAACGTTATTTACTTTTTCGGTACTCCCTTCACAGTCAGACACTGCCACAACACCTCACTGTTGACAGAGTCAAATTCTGCCTTCAGACCAAGAGATGTGGGAAGTGTAGTTATGGCCGGTGGGTATGCCGGTGTTCTAGAACCTGTCAAAGAGTGAAAATATGATCGATGCACCCTCATCCAGGTTTGAAACTTGCCTAGTTTTTTCGAGCTCCAGATAGTCTTCGGATAACTATGGATCCTAGGATCTTGGATACAGTATTATTCAGACGAGTTCGCCTATTTTCGAAACAAGACTTCCCTCCCTTCCCTTAGACTGCGATGACCAGTGAAGTACACCAATCCAGCAACACTACTTCTGATTCCCATACAATGCCTAGTACCTCCGCCACTTAATTTAGCGACTTTCTACCTCCATTCTTGAAAACGTCGAGACGTAAACTGTCAGGTCCTGTTTCTTTGCATGGTTTCAGGTTTGCTACAGCCTTCTTAACGTTGGATGACCCACATCTACGTCTTGTTTAGGTTAAGGCTGAATGTTAGGCAACTGAAGCGTTGCTGAGGGCCAGATTTTAACTAGTTATAGAAAATTCATGTTAGATCATGGAATCGATCCACGTGTACTTCAATTTAAAAAGTTTGACTGCAGTCCCACAATTCATTCGCTTATGTACTGGATTATTTCTAAGAATTTAAAGGTTAAATAAAACCATAATAATTATGAAAAGATAACACTCACGTCGTCGTGCAGTCGCTGTAGATTTTAAGCGACCATTTTGAAAGGCTTTCTTAACCTGATCAAATACATATTCCAAATAATAAAGGACTCGTCGATAAAGTACAATTTGTTCAACAATTCTAAAAGAAAGTGGGAAAATGTGTAAACTAAAATGAATTCAAAAGCACTAGTAAATAAAGTCAGCCGATTCATTTAATTAGGCAACCTTAAAAGGTCTGTGTTATTTCAATTTACTTCCTCAGCAGTGAGAACGCGTTAAGACTGCAAGCCGTTTACCTATATCTACTTTTAATTTCGTCAATTTGTCTGTTAATTAATAAACCGCAATCCTCACCTTCCTTGTTTAGAGTCAGATAATGAAAGTGATTGATAAATTACTAGTTACATTAGTTAGGACAGCCATTTTTACAGACTATAGTAACGCGATGATTTATGAAAACGAGACGAAACCTAGCTCGTCAATTAGTTTAGTCCTGTGATTTGGATGATGGAAGAGTTTTTAGATTGATAGGAAGCACTCCATTCACATAGGAAGTACTTTAGTCTGATTTCGTTCCAAGCTGAGCTGGTGTCATCAGTATGTTCCTATGCTACATGTAAGAACAACCAGTCAACCAATCAGAAAATTTCGACAAGGTTTTGCAAAAATAGACACAAGTGTCTGTGAGTTAATATTTATATAATACACAGTACTTTCAGTAAGAAAAATCTGTTTCTTGGTCTTGAACGAATACTTGTTTACACGAAAAGGTAACTAGATTGTAAGTAATGCAAATCAGGATTATTCAAAGTTTATCGATGAATTTCGCAGTGTGACGACCGCGTGAAATCTTAGAGACTTATCAAAAATGCTTCCTCTTATTCGCTGATGAAGAGAATTATAATGGTAATGGTATCAGTTACAAACGGTAAGTCGGTTTACTATAAGTTTTAAAAATGAACTAAAAATAAAAACCACATCTTGTTTAAAGCCTTCGATAACATATTACTACTTAGTTAACAGAATAAGATCATGTAGAAACCGTATATAATCATGATCACGTGGCAAACTCAATTATTCACATTTCTTCCACATATATTTTGCCAAATGACACATTGTTTCAAAAAGTCGGTGAATTCTTGCACGATTTACTAGGACGGAAACAGTGTTAATTGAGAATAGGCAAGTCATAATTATCAGTTTATAAGCTATACGTAATCAGAAAATCAAGGAGCACTTATTCAATTTTGAGGTTTGTGGAGATTTATTGATTTCAGGTTACTCAATGACGGCATCGGATGAAGGTCACGCTATATCATGAGCTGACAGAAGTAGCTCAATGGTAAAGCGCTGTACATGGAACCAGAAAGTCCTGGGTTCGAGCCCCGGTGGAGCCGTGGGTGAGAACTGCTAAGGGGTCCCATACTAGGACTGCTCGCAGTTTTCCAGTATTTCTTCAACTGATGTCAGTCCATGATAAGTACTAGTACTTATGTGTTTCATGTTTAAATCAACAGACTCATTATATGGGCAACAAGAAACGTTCAATACTACACTACTAATAGATAATATTTGTGATTAAAATCTTAACCTGGTAGATAAAAATTATTAGCTACCAGATATGGGTACCCAACTTTACATACGGTGTAGTCCAACGACAAAATATACAAAGCTGAAACAAAAAAGAAACCCTGATGAGAACACAAAAGTCGAGAATGCAAAACGTTTAACTATTCATGCAGTACAATTTTTAGTTCATGGTTTCTTGTGGTTCGTGTTTCTTTAAACCAGCTATTTTGAATAAGTGGTTTATTACGGAAAGCTAGCAATTCTAGGGTTCAAGAGAAACACTCATATGTTATACATAATACAGTTAACATAAAACAATTTGAAAAATTTCTAAACTAAAGCAAATGGAAACTTTTATACTTAACTATTGGCAAGTCAGTGTGTACACAGATACTAAAAGTCTACATTTCAACAATAACAAGATCACATACCTTTGAGCCTCTGATACAAACTTCAGTGCAGTTGATGTTTGCTGAGAATTTTTATTTGATTCTTGTTCTTCATCAGCAATATTGTGATCACTAACACAATTATCATTATCACGTCCATTATTTACAGAGCATTTCGGTTTTTGATGATCTGAATTTAAAGGTAGTGAGGCATCAGTAGCAGCAGAAGGATCTGTGATAGGAATTTCACTATCATCTGTAGTTATAACACGAGTTGGTGTACAGTCAGCCAAAGCAGATGCTCGTCGTTCTGCTAATTCAGCTAATAATTCACATAGTTCTAAGACCATTGTTATTTTCTTTATTTCTTCATTATGTTCAGACTTTCCAGAGATTATTGATGAAAAAAACGAAGGTAAGTATAAGTAGATATATTTTATTTATCTAAGACTTCAATACATGCAAGCTTTCCTTTTTTAATTATGACTTCTTGAATTATTTAAACCACAAAAGATTACTCTATGCAGACATCACACACAACATAACTGAGAGGGATAAATACTGATAGTCACATTAGATGAATAAAAATTAGGAAAAGACAGTCCAGCGAAGAAAATTTTCTTCTCGATGACTCATGTGCGTATCTCTAATTCTGACTCAGTCGTAATCTTCTGAAGACAGTTTACTGATTTCTTCGTTCAATGCTCGTTTATTTATTGTAATCCTTTAAGGAATTTTGATGACCTTGAGGTGACCTTCTAGGGGTGATCGCCTTGTGTTTTGAAGATTCTGTGTTGACCCATTACCTGCTGATGGATATATATTTTCCTATAAGTATGATTACAATTGTACAGTTCTTGAAGATGATCCGTTGAAAAAAATCTTCATTGCAAAATTGTTTTTGTTAACTACCAGTTTATAAGTCCAAATCGGCAATACCACTTAGAAGAATATTTATAAATTGGAGATTCGGAACTACCTGATCAGTAATATCGGTAGGTTACTTAAGAGATCAATCGAAATAACATAAATATTGGCAAGACAAAGTAGAGAACACTAACTGTACAACAATGACTGTTTAAGCATGGTGATACAAAAAGATTAAAACACAAGCAACACCATGAATTTGGAAAACAATCGATAAGTATGTTTCTGTCTGATTATAAACACGCCAGACACCTTCCCAGTGCACAATCAGAGGAGAAAATTTATTCATAGTTTGAAAACAAAACCACGGTGACATTTTTATCTGGAGTGAATTTACCATGAGTGGAAACAGTCGTGAATTTACTCAGTGACAACAATCAGTGAAGGTAGAGCTGTGAAAAAGTGCCAAGCTATGACAGAAACAGTTCTCTTACTTAGCCTCCATTCATTTTATTTCTTTAAGTGTTTCTTGAATTCTCATGTTTGTGACCTTAAATTTATGATTATTTCTCGGCTTAATCACGCCACCTGCTTACTGACAGCTCTTGCACCAACATTATTCCACTTTAAGCAACAGTCTACTTATGAGTAGGCAGTCGCTGAATAAAAACATTTTCCCTTGGCGCAACAGAAAAATACGAAAAACATACCTCCATGAGAATTTCATCTGAAAACTCAGCAGCCTCCCATAAGCCCGCAGATGTGAAATCATTTTCAAAGTTTCTTGCTGTTATCAAATGAGATAAGGACAGAAGAGGGATAAAAAATTAACGAGATTAGAAATTAAAAACGGGATTTGGAAGAGAAATTTGAATAAAACATTTTCAAAATACCATTTGATTTTCAGCAGGTACACACTTGTTTAAACTATATAATAGCCACGCCAGTTTCCGTGTGGAAGAAGACGCTGACTAAGCTCAGGGACTTTACAATGCAGGAAATACGGCGTAAAAAAAATTGAGACAAACATAAAATATTAAAAGGGAGGGGAATTATGTCAGAGAAGTAAAAGGCCACAAAAATGCATAGATGTTTAAACAAAAGCTATGACTTCTAATGAAGGTTCATAATCATTGTCACAAAAATGGAATATTTACTCTCTGGAAATTGAGGAAATGCAAGAAAGACATTGGGATCAAAATAATGATTTCCAACCATGGTTGCAAATACAGCAGCCAATGAAAGGTAAGGTAAGGGAAAGTAGGCGTTTGTTTAAACTAAGAAGTATAAGTCACAAGAAAAACCAACACAGTTAGCAATGTTTAAGATTTTTAGGATAAGATAGATCCATTGAAAAATAGTGGTAAATGTAGTCTCTATGAACAAATAAACTGAAACTGTACCGATGAAAGAGATGAAACACTACTTGACGCCTAATCTATCTAGGATTTTCGGTAACACAACATGTAATAATAAGATTCAGAAAGCTAGAGATGAAAAACCATGCGAAGCAGTGCAGAAAGGATTAGGGTGAAATTCCTTTATCTCATTACTAAAAAAAAGATGAACATAGCCTAAAATTCAGGTACAAGTATTGTGGACAAATGATAACAGTTCTGTCTGTATATTTGAATACGAGTGAATTAGGTTTCAAATTAGTTAATCAAATACTAAGTTAAAGACGATCGACATCAGTGCATTGAAAGTTTGTCACTACAACAAATATACACCTGTTCTCAGTATAAACTAGGAAAAAAATTATCGGATTTTGAGGGAGTTGTGGGGATTTGGAAATATTTCGTGGGTGCGCACTGCTAAGGAGTCCCATACTAGGACGAAACAGGTATCCAGTGCTTCCAGGTTTCCTTTGTTCCTTCAACTGATGTCAGTCTACGATGAATAACAACTTGAAACAAATCATCATTTCCCAAATGAAAAAAAGATTTATACAAAAACCGTCAACAGTAATTATTCAATAATACAAATAGAAAAATGTCGAACAAAGTTTCACTTTCAGTACAAAATAAGTAAAATAACCTACTATATTCAAGTAAACCTGCTTCAGACTGTGGTTGATACCTTTGGTCATATTCATAAGCTACTGCATATTCACCAAGAGCTGTAAAGCTTTGCTTTTCTTTTGAAATCGTATGGGCTAAGGAAGTTAATTAGAAGCAACAATATGAAGTATCCTACGATTAAGGTGATATTTGAATGAAGTCTAAAGAATATTGGTAGAAAACCAACATTTCAGAAATTTGAGTACATATCATATATGAACGCAAATGACTTGTCCGCGTGAGCGACATCTGATTTTCTATTAAGGATCGATTGTACTGTGCTGCAGTCCGATCTGTTCTACTGTATTGCTATGAAACGTGGGCATTCAAGGCAGAAGACATGAGAGGGCTTCATATGTTTGACCACCGCTGCCTTCTTAGCATAGGCCGTGTTTCATGGTGTCATCATGTGAGTAACCCAGAAGTCAGACGTCGAGTTTTAGGCAGGAGAGGTAAGACATCTGATGTGGTTGTGAACCTTGGTCGACTGAGATGGCTGGAACAGATGTTACGCATGCTTAACCACCGTCTGCCTCGTCATACAATGTTGGATGAAGTAGGTTATGATGGGCGGCCAGAATCGATGTCAATAGCGCAGATGCATACACACATTATTTTAATCTCAACCACTATACTTAATCTCATCACCTTCTCGTCCATCCTTCCTCTCTTTTACTATTTTCTACTTTTACTTTATTTGACCGGTTCTTCTTTCCTTCTTCATCTTCCATTTTATTGCCTTGCTACTTGATGTGCTGATATGAGGTGTGGCAACTTAGATCTTCATGATGATGATGTTCGAGTGAAAATATGATGTATGTTCAAGAACCAACATAAGAATATCTTCAGTAGGCAAGATGACAAGAAGTCATGCACAAAGAAGGATACTGCATTAATGTTACGAAAACGTGATGACTAAGACTTTTCAGTATAGTGTCATGACGGGCCAAGAAGGAATAACCACGAAATCAGCAAAATCTTAAGAAACACAAAGTTTGTCCTTTAGGATAAGAAGATAGAAAGAGTGGTACCTGTTACAAGGCTCTTTGAGTTCCTAAGTGGGACGAAGAAATTCCTACGGGTTCCGCTTTTGCACGCCATTTTAAATGATAACGATTGTCATCATAGAACAGCAGTGATCCGAATTTCAACCGGATTGAAATGTTCTGAGTGTTTTTAATTCTTCGTGGAGTATACTACTATGAACTTATGCACAGACTACTGTTTCATATACTTCCATGTACACTAATTCCTTTCTGAAAAGTAAAACTAAAATTTCAGGGACCCTTGATTGGAATATTAAATGGTTTCAAACTTTGATCAAGAAGTGATATAGAACTATTATTTTGGATACGAAGCTACGTAGAGTAGACAGACAGTTAGTGTGGATGAGAAGTCCTGAAATGATATTCAATAAAAGTTCAATGTTAACTGGTGCATTCGTAAATAATCTTCTTCACATAAAAATCACTAGTGTAAATGAAACAATGTTTGATAGAATTATCTGTTTAGCTTGAACCCCTCCAGTTGAATCAACCATAACTCCTAACATCCAGCCAAAAAAAAGAGACAGTCAAAAAAAAGAAGACCAAAGGAGATGATTGGAGAAAAACGACAATTTAAATTATTCAAATAAACAGTAAGGAAAATAGCAGTGGGAAAACTTTCAAGAAAGGTTAAAGCTAGAAATCCCCCTATAACGTAGTAATAAGCAGTTGTCGCTCTTTTCTAAGAAAAAGAAATAAATTACACCTACACAAAAGTATCGACTGGAAGAGATGTGTACAAAGACTTTCATGTAAGCTTAAGCTTAATGACCATTTGACTCTACAGTGCTGAAAACCTGCATTTCTTATATCGACTGAATAAAGCAGGAAGCATGTTTATTCAACAGTTTACTAAAAACCAGTTATTTTACGCAATACTTACCGAAATTAGGATTAGTTACGACGGGATATATAACATCACCACGTTGGGCAGTAATAGTCTGTAAACCTGAAGGATGGACCAGTTGTCTAGGACCAGCTTGATAATTAAGCTGATGCAATTGTGTATCCCTTGTCTCAAGACTTACATTACTTCTCAAAGGCTCATGATGTGGAATTTCAAGAAAATTCCCTTCAGCTACTTGACCTTCATTGAACTTCTCTTCTGGCAACGCAAGAAAAGAAAGCCGTTGTATAAAACTTAGAAGAGTGATCAAACTGGTTATTCTGATAAAGAGAAGCTGTGAATATGAATTCAGATAACAATATATAAAACGTTTAACGTTTTATATATATATATATATATATATATATATATATATATATATATATAGTGATATACAAATCTACCACAAAATGTGTTTCAGACTTTCATAGTGTTGTGTTCTTTGAGGTGGACGGTTTATTTGTGAAGCTTCCACTGTCATTCTGGACAACATCCAGAACATCTAGACAATATCATGTTGTCTAGAATGACAATGAAAGCTTCACACCATACACCATCCACATACACCAACACGACATCATTTGATGACGCTTGCCACTACATTTTTTGCAAACAATGTTTGGATTTAGTTGGTTACGTTGCACACCTTGGTCATGATTATCATCTTTCGGTAGGTTCCAACGAAGCACTTAAGAATACCGGCACAAGAAATAGTGCTTCAAAATGTTTGCACTATTACTGAAGATTGGTAATTATTGACAAAACTTCAGTAATGTGGAGAAATTCGTTTTCCGTAGCATTAGGAAACGAGGATGAGTTGATGTGCATAAAGGAGTATTCGATTTCCAATCATTAAGGTCGACTGTTCTTTTTTGAAACTTACGCTACTGTGTAACACTTTCCTTTTCAACTTTCAATCATAAAAGCCATAATTCATTAGTTCTTTATGACGTTAATTAAATTCAACTTTTCTTGCTTCATAGTATTAACAGTTTTAACTTAATTCTCGGTTAACCTAGTGACGAACCGCTAGTTCGATTCTCATATAAGCAGATCTAAATCGCTTGAAAAAAGCCGAATTAAATCTCGAACAGATCACACAGTTGATCGTAACAATGAAAGTTCTCTGCTACCAATGAATTTGTATTCACTAACTTTACACGATGAAAGTGCTCCCATTATTGGGCAAAACTGGCAGACACAATTTAAATAGCATTGAAAAAGCATGCTTAGAAGTTGACAGTTTACATCAGTTTCACGATCCAGCTGTGATCACTAACCACAATGTAAATTCAATTCCTGTTATTCATCCGTTATCCTATGGGTCAAACTCCTGAGACAGTAACTTGCAATAGAAGTGATTAAGCAACAACTTACTTAAGATATATATATATATATATATATATATATATATATATATATATATATATATATATATATACCTTGCTACCTTCAGAAATATTAATGTCAATGTAGAGTGATTATATACAAGGTAGATCCATTTGGGCAATCAATGAATCTTTGACGACAGGTCACAGATTCACTGATGGAATTTAACTCAAAGAGAAACCTATTTTGAATAACACCAACTCTCAGACTTGTTATTAGTGAAGAGAAAGAGTTTTGCTATGTTATCCCTGTTACCTAAAATCCCTTTCTTATTGTAATGCATAGACTGAGTAAACGGTAAGCCATGACAACTTATACCGGATTATGAAGAGCTTGTGGATATGTTTTGTTAGACACTTCAATATCAAGTCTATTATGTTTCTTGATATTAAGACTGATTATGTTTGATACGGTTGTACTTGAAAGTTATCAGCTAGACAGTTTTGTTTGTTCACCAAACAATCTTACTACCACTTTGAAATCCGCTGTATAGAAACATCAAAAGTGGAGCAGTAATGCAAAGACTTCAAAGAATAAACTAGCATGACATTCACCGGATAATTATGCGTTGTAGTCTTAATTACACGACACATTTATGGTGTCGTAAACAGTCAAACCTTCGACAGTTTATTTACAATGTAAATTATATCTAGTATATACGTTAGGAAGAATTTTGTATTTATCAAATTTTCTTATACTTCAGAGTAGATACATCGACATGTAGTTAACAAACAAAAGGAGATATTTTCTTACATCCTAAAATTTGGAAATAATACTGTCGATTTAATATACCTACAATACCGTAGGAAATATATAGGAAACGAGCAGACTAATAAACATGAAGTTTTGAAAAAAAAACATGTTTCAACGTTTATCGGCTTAAAAAATCAAAACAAAGATTACATAATGTGATGATGTAACAGAAGTGGGACAACACAACAAATATATGAAAATTCACAAGGTCGTGAAAAAAACAATACTGAAAAGAAATCAGCATCTTTGTTAAACATTCAAATACTACTGATACAATACATAGTAGTATTTTATGAGATTAATCAATTCTGATAATTAATAAAATGCACTGACTTGTATAATCGGTTGGTCCTCTTATTGGTTCTGATATAGGTCTGGTGGTAAATTTATGACTAGTGGGGGAACCACAAGAATCAACTGGCATCTAATGAATGGGGAAAAAAACAAGTAGTAAAATAAAGTGTATATTGATGGTGAATACATCATATCCCTTTATCCTCTGGGAAATATAGTGTTTTCAATTATGTTCAATGCGAACAACGACTTCAACAACCGTTTGTGAGGCAGTTTCGATGATACTATAGGTCAAGTGACTTTTATTTAACATTTAAGTACAATTGCTATAGGATTTCGTTACCAATATATAACAAATGTTAGAGCGGATAGGAGATTCAAATGCACTACAGGGGAACAGATAAGTGGAGTGATTATAATCGAAGTTTCCTGCAGCTGCTTTGTTCGGTTAAAAGTGGTACCGATAGACAACTTGAACATAACCATCCTAATAACACCCATACAAAAGTAAAGGAAGTATCCTGTTTCTGAAAGGAATGAATGAATTGCACACAGCAACCTCGCACACATTCGTGCAGTTGGTAATGAGCCACACCTATTGTATGAAGACTAATGATGCCACCTGGCTACACATAACTCAGTAGGTGGAACAGGGTTCGAACTCGTAACTCAGTAGTTGGAAGTCATCTCCTTAAACTAGTGAGCCACCTAAATTAAACACTTGAGGTTAGGATCAGAAGACATTACTCCATAACAATGGACACTTTCGTGCGTTATCTCACAAACCAATACTACAGTGCCAACGTTAAATGTGCTGTAGAGAGAAGGAGAGAAAGGGAAGGAGACAGAGAGAGGATATGAACACTTGATCCACTAAGTGACAGCAACTCTTTGTTGAATATCTTCACAGAAAGTACACTGAATATATGTAAGTAAAATCAGAACCATCTCTGAAACATAAGTCTCACAAATAAGAAATATTTTTGTAGTTTCATCAATCAATAAATTATCCAGGAAAATAAATAAAACAGTGGATGGACAAGGCAAAAACTATCATGAGAAAGGTTTTGATCCCATAAGATATTTGAAATTCGTTAGGCTGCTAAATTTTGTCAGTGAATAAGATCGGAAAGCGAACTACGTTGATATACGAATGGCTGTTAACGAATAATCTTCATATATTCAGTGTATAAAGTGTAGATGTTAGTACATATAAAACTCTTTAATTATCATAATGTAAGTAGCTAAAACATTCAGAACTGTTTAAATATAGAGCTTTAGTTCATCACGTTAGCATAGTTAACAAACAAACAGGCTGAAATCCCTTAGTGGAGGATAAATCCAGATTTTCACATAATTATTCTTCAGTTTAGAAAAAATTACTTTAGCTATCTACAGAATGCTATTTTAATTTCCCTGATCCAACCAGATATCTAGTCAAAGGTCCAAACAAAATTCACTTAATGACATCTGTTGAAAGAGTTAGGTATGAAGGGAAAAACTACTCACCAACAATTCAGTAGTCAAAAAGGTCTTATTAAGTATTTTTTAAACCACTACGATTTTTTTGGATCAAATTTCTGAAAAGATCATAGTGTTTACGTACACTGGGCGCCCATTTTCATTTTCAGTTCAATTGACCTGATAAGCAGCACTTAAAATATCGCTAAAGATTACTTATTGAAAATGACAGGCTAGAACAGACAATTGCAATTTTTTATGTGAAACTACTACCTGAACCATATTCTGGCTAACGAAAAGTAGTGACCATCAGCGCAACCTCCAACAATTGATCTAGTAACTGTAAAAAAAAAATCACTAGGTAGGCTAAGGTGCATTATAAGCTTTCGAAAGCTTACAAACGTTAACTATTTATCTCTTCTCTATGCGATCACGTAAGAGCACTGTGGTAGAAACGCCTACCGTTGGTATTTACTTGATACCTACGTGGTACTTATCTAATACCAGTGAAAGAAAGAGTCATTATAAATTACAAGGAGCTATACTTTGTTTTGCAATCTCTTGATATAGATGAGTGGAAAAATTCAATTTGTGTCAGTGATAACTCATTCCAGAAGAGAAGTGTAACAAAGTGAAAGCTGTTGGGGAAACAGCTATCTGCAAAGAGTTCTCGCAATATGAACAGCTAGTGAATTTACAATTTTCGATATATAAAACCTTAATAGTTTATATTAGCAAAGAAATGAACAGCACTGCACATTTAGGAAGAATAGATAAACGAGTTTGTAACGCATTAATTATATAAATTTATATTGAAGACATTTGTTTACCGATACAAATTCAAAGCAAGCAACGAATGTGAGAAAAGTGGGATTAAATGAATTCATAAATTTCAATAGTACTTGTCAGCTGGATACATTATATACTTAATTATATATACCGTTAAACAAACAATGCAAGCGAACTTATATACATACGTAGATAACGTAGACTGAGACATAGATTCAGGTGTAACAACATAGAAATGAAGTTTTTACAGGTCAAGTGCTAATGCAAAGGGTAGAAATGGATGTTCAAAATTAAATGGGCTGAGGATAGGTTAAATGGTTAACTATGAGTTTGGATAATAGTGGAATTCAGATAGAAAAATAATGGTAATAATAATAATGTTGACACAGGTGAGAATTGAGTCAATTTAGCGTATATCACGACATTCAAAACAAGATACTCAATAGTACTTATGCAGACAATAAGAAAACTAGGTGATTAATAGTGATAACAATGGTAAAAGGAATAAGCCTAATTACGCGAAACAAATTAAGGAGGGATAACAAAATGTAAGATGAGTGATAATTAAGAAAGAAGAGCAAGATAGAAAGACTAGACGACGCTGTAACTCCTAAAAATGGCAGATCCAAGCTGACTATTATTTGCTTCTAAATGCAGAGGTTCGACTTGACAACTTAAATCGCGCAAGCTTCTGCAATTCGGAGCAATTTCTTATTTTACTGTCTATTGATAACCGTAAAGGACTTACAGATATCAATATCATGCCCATAATCCATTAAGTGTTTCGTTATCAAGCCCCTCGAGGTCCTCTCAGCATACTTCATCCATTTGGGTAGGTGCTCAACCCTTCGAGTAGACAAATGCTTCCCCGCACGACCAATATATTTATTTCCGAGACATACATTCAAATTGATACATTCATTTAGATGTGTCGAGGATCGGAACCCTATCTTTCTCTGATTGTTGCAGTACCCTTTTCGTGGTGCTGAGGAAAACGCATTTAGCAACATAGTAAGTCCTTCTGACAGAATTCTCCAGTCTTCGTCTAACTACTTCTAGCACATCGTCACCTTTGAATGGCAAGGTGATATAGACTGGTTTCTTCTGCACTGTTGGGGACGTTGTTCTGCTCCCTACCCATTTTGCGTGGTTGTTGATAAAACTTTCTGGGCATCTATTCTTCCTTAACACGTTTTTCATAGTCATCATTTTGTAATCTGGTGTGCTGTCAGGATAATTTTTTCTGGCTCCGTTGAACAGTGTTCTGACTAAATACATTTTGTATTGGATGAGAAAAAATCTCCTTAAATAAAGGTATTGTCTTGTCTATGAAGATTTTCCATAGATGGACTTTACGATAGATCCATCAATTCTTTTCACTGAGGTATTTAAGAAACTATTCAAACTATTTTCTTCGTGTTCAATCGTAAAGGTTAGGTTTTGGCGACATGAACTGAAGCTCTTTCGTAGTGCTTCTGCCTACATTTTGCTTTTACATATGACGAATATGTCATCCATGTAACGCTGGTACAGTACTACTGAAGCTCAGGAATTCATTAAATCCTGCTTTTTTTTTACATTCGCTGCCTATTATAAATTTATCTCTTAAATATTGGATGAATAGATAGCGTACTGTGACATCAGGTAGACAGTATCTTGTTTATAATCAAAAGAAACAAAGAATGTCATATTAAACAACCACTTACTGGATGGTAATATCTATCAGCCAATTTATTGCTATTCACACTTGAAGGAATTTCGTTTGTATTTCTGAGGATTGATGCGTTATTATGACTGTCATCTGGTAACTGAAAATATCGTGCATCTGTTACAGCTGTACCAACAGTAACATCTGGTAGCGGTCCCATATCCGGTATACCTCTCCGTTTAACATTATTATTTGTGAGGTAAGACCCAGGATTTCGAACTATCCTACCGATATTACTCATTTGTGACCTAAACAAAAAAAACCCATTATGAATCTGTTCATAAGTCACATCCATCTAGTAAACTATTGCACCTACGTATAACTGGATAACTTTACTCAGAGTTGTATGCTGAGTTGGGATCTATACTCAGTGCATAAAATTAGTAGGACCTGATTACAAAACACTTGGAAGGTGAAGTAGAATTAAAAATTAAATTACTGACCTTACAGCAATAATCAGAAACTTCCTTAAAAACAGAATATTAAACTATTCTGAAGGAGGTCGATGAACAAGTCTACTGTGTGACGAATGCTCTAAAATTATAAATCCATTCGATAAAGTTTCACAAGCTGTTAATACTATGATACGGATTATACTTTTTTCTATGAATGGATTATGAAAAGCAATCAACATCCTATGCAGGAATTGGTCACGAATGGGAATACCAATACAGCTGTCCAGTTCTTAGTGGTCAAGACGGAACGAAGTCTATCGATGGTCTGGGTCGTCTGAAGAAATGCACATGCATGGCTGAGGGTCCCGAAATTCTAGAAATCAGAGGGTAAAAATCGGTCACAATGGCGTAGATGTATTTACTCCATGACGTCTCGTAAAGTTTGAACACACGCACTAAACGTCATCTTCAAACTGCTGATTCTCTCATACAACTTTGTCAACCTTGATATCAGTCTTCTTCTCTTCACTTATTCTTTGTATACTAATACTTTGAAATGTGGCAAGTTGAACCGATGCACCTATGTGCAAGGTTCTACGTTGATTTTGTCTCTCTGTCTATTAGAAACCTTGCTCATTGACTCCTAACATCTGAAACCAATCAGTTATTGGATAAAGAGTTAACATGTCACGATTAAGTTCCAATCACAAAACCAACGAAAGTAAGTAGTAATAGTTAAGTCGACAATGTAAATGTTAACTGTTTCTGTTCTATGCCAGACAATGACTTGCTTTCATTTAGCATACAAAGTATGCTAGGAAATAATTATGCTTATCAACGAAGTATTATGCAGCTCAGCAATAAAGTTGAACCTTGGAAACTGAGAACCATCCCTGAAAACAACAGTAAGATAGTCAATGATACTACCTGATTACTTAGATCTCAGTAGTCAGAAAACGATTCAAACCGTTAGAACTCAGTGGTTAGTCGTAAAATCACTCAAGTATTAAGTAATATGATTCAATACAGTTATAAATAAATAAATTGAATTAATAACGAATATAAACCTACATTGGTTCATTTAAATGACCTTGTTGACGAAACCGTTCACGATCTATACGTTGTACTTCTTAAGTGCATAGTCGACCAAAAAAGAAAGAATATAAAGAAGCTAATGAAATATGTTGTAATTACATCAGAAAGATGATTAAAAAAAGTACGTCGTAAAATTGAAATAGTAACGCAGAAAAACATTGAAAAAGTAAGGAAGGCAAAGTGATGTTGATTAACTAGTTTTGTGGCCACTTTGAAATTACATGAAACAACACATGTGAAAAGGTTAAGTGAACAGAGAATATTTCCATCAGATTCTACAGTCATAAGAAATGGGACTTTTCAGCATGAAAACAAGTCGAGTATTAGTTAAACCACATTATCAAAATGAAAAGTAAACTAGATATTTTAAGCAGATAGATTTTTCAATATTCTCTCTACAAACAATGAAGGATCAAACGTGAGGGTACTTCATATGGATTAGAATGATTGAAACAAATGAAATTATTTGTAGTAGTGGAAAGGTAGCGGAGAAAATGGTTTGCATTAGTTCAAAACTACTCAGCAATTTGTGAAGTCAACAAATGAAAGGAAAGAACGTGGGACACGATGGAAACGATTTTTAGCTCTGGATGACGATGGTGGTGGTTCGGTGTTCTCTGAGCTTTGATATTTTGTCGTGGACTTCTCATTACCAGGCTCGGTGACATTCTCTGCACTAACTTCATAAAGAAGTGAAGCATATACAAATATTTAGGTAGTGTTTTTGCTAACCGTGAGCGTTGTCCAATTATGAGTCGAGGAAGAGATTTTTGTCACACTATGACCTCTTTGACCTTAAGTTTAACTTCGTCACGCTTGAAGAAAATTTTGTCAGAGTGACATTGTGGTGTTTGTTACTATCACACTGTACTTCATTATTGATTTGTTTGAGTATTTTCTACTTGGTTGGTAGATGGCTTACTCTTTCTACGTAGATTATAGATTTGTTCGGTATCCACATACATGTTGATTAACTTGTGGAAATCCTACGCTTATGGAAATTCTTTTGCCGCTTCCGAACCTATTATTTGAAGAATTTTCATGTTCTCTTCCATTAATCATGGGAAAACTGACCAAACAAGGATCCCGACAAAGATTCTCTCCAAGAGTGACGGAGTGAAACTTAAGGTCAAAGAGATCAATGTGTGATAAAAATATCTTCCCCAACTTACAACTGGATTACCCTTCCTTTCTTTATGAAGTTGTCGCAGAGAATGTCAAGTCTGGTAATGAAACTTCCACGACAAAATACCGAAACTCAGAGAACACCGAACCACCATCAGGCCGTGGGACAAGCACGTCCCAAGGTCATGTTATCGTTGTCCTACTGGGTCCAGATTTCGAAACCCTTAGATAACTCAGTGTACTCAGGATTATCAAACGATATGACATGAAAACTATGGTTTCATAATGTACGGAAAATTAAAATCATCAATTTGGTTAAGATAATTAGTTGAATGAGTTCGAAAGGATGAAGGTCATTTTTAGAATTAACGTAGTAGGAAAAGAATTTCGCAACAAATAAGTTCACGTATTTGCATATTATACGTAGATGAGATAAGAATGGCATCTTGGTCAGTATTAATTTTTTCAGCAGACAGCAAACAAGTAAAGAAGAAAATAACAACTTCAGAAAAGAGTGGTTATGAACCTGATACCATAGTCATAAGCTGAGGAAACGCTTGAGGATTGATCCGGCGTTCCCATTGACAAATCCCAAATAGGACAAAATGCGCGTCCTGGATTACAATGCTAGCCACCAAATAGACTACAATTTTTAAGGATTGTCGGAAAGTATAGGACACAGAGCCTGCAATACATTAGTAAAAACTAACAGACGAAATACACTGCACACAGTTGAAGTAAAGTGCAGTAAAAAGGGGTGAGGCTAAAGGTTATCCCCAGGTAATATAGGTGTTCTGCGTGAAAATACGTATTTTCGGTGTTTTGAAAGCATTTATTTTCAAGTGAAAACTGCAATCGTTAATCCTTTTTGCTGTGATTTTAGGGCCCAATGACCTTATTTTGATTTATGGGCATCATTCTTCATAAATAAATGTATGGACATCCTAAATAGGAGGTGGAAGTGCAAGCAATACTTTACACATGAATAAACGACATGAAACAGAGGGTATTTTAAAAACTAAACAAATAGGTAAAATATGGATACAATATACAGAAAATAGGTAAATTGGCACACAGAACGCTATATCCCATAGCAAGCACGATAACGCCTGGGGATAACTTTCAGCCTCACCCCAAAAACACCTTGTCGCAAAATATCACTTCTTATGCCCAGAATAAAGATTTTGTGGTACACAGATAATGGAAGCTATAGTAAGTATCACTGGGAAGAAGGGTGCCATAAAAAGCTGCCATCTTCTAAAATGTATGAACAACTTAATACTTTTGGAGCACAAGGTTAGTCAAATGTTTCCAATTTCGGTACAATACAAAGGTACACTACACGGGAATAGCTCCAAGTTCAAGGGAAAGGAAGCTGTGTGGAAACGTAGAAGGAGTAAAAAGATAAAGAGAAAGGAAAGTATTCAAGATCCAGATATACCCTTGAAAAATGTGTTCACTTTATGTCCCAAAGAAAACAACTATCACAAGAAATCCTTGGCATAAGCAATACTTTATTTGAAGAAAGACTTTAACCAAGACAAAACTATTTTACTAACTATCATCAAGAATATGCATAAACCTGACAAAGTCAGTAATGACCGATACTGTTCAGTTTAACAGCTCAAAATTAAAGCGTATCGGAGAAAAAATAAAGGTACTGACATATTTGCAACAAAACGTTAAACACTGAAATGTCCAGCCAAAGAAATCAACAGTAAACTGAACAAAAGATTACTTAAAATAGATTTCTGCTCCGTAAACATAAATCATGAGTACTGAAATATCACAGAATATACATTAAGAGACAAAACAACACAGATTGTCGCAAAACATGTTAAGAAACAGTATACTGTTCATGTTAAAGTCACAATAACGTAGTCAGTATGATGGTACTGTTGCTGTGAAAATAATGGCAACCTTACATCAATACATACACAAGTCATGTTTGTTTATATGATTTGCATATGGATAACAGTATCATATCTTGATTTAAGTTTGGTCTTAATGGAAAGTTACAACTCTAGTATAAATAGTCAGTGGTAATATTACCATTATTATTATTGTTATTTATCTCTTGGGTTCCTAATAGGACATAGGGCTTCAGTAGCATGTCTCCACTGAGCTCTGTTCTCTGCAATCTTTTCAACCTGACGCCACGACTGCCCACAAGCTCCCATTTCCTCCTCGCACGATCTCCTCCATGTCACCCTCACCTACGAAGCCCAACTCGTCGCTTCCCATAATGGTTCCACTCGACAACCTGGCCTGACGCGTTATGTCCCCAGTCGGTCTTCTCACTGTATGCCCAATCCATCCCCACTTCCTTCCAGTGCATATTTCTTCAGCGATAGCTTCTTGGTTGGTTCGCTGCCCGACCAGAGTTACTTGTTGCTTATTCTCATTATTCTGACCATCTGATCTTTAGTAACAAGTGTAGGCAGTTATTGATGAATGTCTGTAATTTGTTGGAAACGCCTTTCGTAACGCACCAAGTTTCTCAACCATCACATAGAAGCACTGACTTGACATTGGTGTTGAGAATCCCGATTTTGTTCCACATGCTGAGTGGAGTGCAGAAGATCTCCACACTGGTTTCAGGCTAATGAACGCCTCTCTTGCTTTCTCGATTCTGACTTTGATATCCTCGTCAGTGCCACCTGTAGTTGAAACAGTGCTGCCTACATAAGTGAAGGAGGCTACTTCCTTTAGGTTTCCCCTGTTCATGGTAATTGGAGCTTATTGTTGCTGTTGTTGTTGGTTTGGTATCTTCATCACCTCTGTCTTCTCTACGTTCACTTGAAGTCCCGTCTTCGCTGCCCTGCCGCTTCTGACAACTTGTTAGTTTTCGCATGTAGATCTTTGAGTTTGTGTGACATCAGGCACAAGTCATCGGCGAAATCTAAATCTTCTAGGGTGTTTTCTATGGTACAGGGCATCCCCCTCTTCTCGCTCCCCACTGTTTGTTGCATGATCCAGTCTACCACAATCAGGAATATCATGGGTGATAGCAGGTAGCCTTGTTTTAATCCTTCCTGTCTTCACTTCAAAAGCATCACTGAGCTTCCCATTTTGAATTACTTGGCATGTGGCACCTTCATATGGTTGTTGAATGAGGCTGATAAAGGTTTGTGGTATTCCGTAGTGTTGAAGCAGCTGCCTGCCAAATTACTTGTCGGTCGACACTGTCGAAGGCGTTTTCAAAGTCGATGAAGTTGAGGTAGAGTGTTGACTGCCATTCTATACTCTGTTCTATGATGACGCGAAGCGTTGAAATTTGATTCGTAATAATTACCTTTCCGGCACACAGCCCCATTTTAGCTTGTCATTCGATTAATATATCATGTAAAGTGGTTAAGATCGTTGATCACTTCATGCACTTAATAAGAAATATCAGCATTGCTATGTCAAGGAAAAACAATGTTTAAACAGATACAAAAGACTCGTCTGGCTTCTATCAAGTTAAAAAAAATACACGGTGCCACAATGACATACTACTGCTTACTATTGGCTGACTGTACTAAGCTACAGTTCGCTCCATTACACTATATACCACTGTCAAACATGGTGACTAAAAACGTAGAACATGAGAAGACATCAGGTGGTGAACCACCATCGCCTTCGTAGCTCAAGTAAGCAGTCATGCAACCACCAAGTGAAAAAATGCAAGAGTCGGGAGTAGAGTTTCAGACAGAAAACGATAGTCAGTTGGTATGGCTATGAACCATCATCAACCCACACGGCTTAGATATCTGTTGTATATACCCAGTCACCATCTGCCAAGACGTCGCACAATATAATTAAAGTAGGTTTAGGCTAGAAAAAGGTTAAAAGAGGCTAGAATGAAGTATGATATCGGTTCATGAAGGCGCTGACTGTTGGTGGTCTGAGTCATGAAAGGAAATGTAGATTTTAAGGTTATGGACCACGTGACAAGAGGAACCAATGGCTAGAGACTGTGGGTGATATGACTTGGAATCGACCTCAGTGGCAAAGATGCATTCACACATCATTTTCATCTTACTCGTCATACAGGATTTTGTCATTATTTCAACCCTTTTACAACTTTTCTACGACTTTTGATTTCTTTCTAACTTATTTCCCTACCTCTTATCTTGGTGCTGTTTGCTTATATGTGCCGATAAGAGGCATAGTGACTCGGGTTGAATAATCCCAGTAGACATTACCCACTTTGGTGCTGACTGACTGTGTAACCAACCAGTGAAATCAAGTGAACGATGAGAAATACTACGTATATTGAATAGTACAACTGATTTACAAAGGATTTCTAATATTTCATTAGTCAATAAGCTGCAAGAGTATTTTTATCTAACATGGACTTTGTTGCATGCCAATTAAAAGTAGTGGATCCAATGTAACATTCAGGTTTTTTAATAACCACCGTCTAAAAAGCTAATCACATACTTCATCCAGCTATGCAGGAGATACTTGACTCTAACGTTTTCAGAATATGCGGCTGGTAGGTAAATGTTGCAAAGCCATAAGTTTCTTCAAAGTTAAAATACAGATGTCTACTAGTAAGCATTAAAGCTGTTAGTGTGCCCAGAACGTTCAGTATTAAATGAATGGTACCTATTTGCTAAATGGTTATACTGTTATCCCTAATTAATTTACAAGCCTAGGTCAGCAAAAATAACTAAAGTCTATCACTTCCTAACAACCTAACACGAATTCCAGAGCAACTTGATTATATACAGACGTGGAAGTACTATAAAACAGACACTTACCAGAACCATCTGGATTTACGATAACATAATCTTCAAAAGGCGGTTCACCGTATTCCATCTCTGCATTCATAAATACACCACGCTGATCAAATTTAGGAAAACTTCGATAAGTGGTTGGCCTCTGTTGATCTATAATAGCACCTCCATGTCCCATAGGTACAGACCTATAATCGTTTGATGTATACTGCTGTTGTCTAGGACTAGAAATATTTGCATTTACATTATTCTGATTTTCACTGGTATATTTACCTGCATCAGTATGCATAAAATCACGTGGTTTTATTGGTGGCATTTTAGGCAGATTATTGTGATCGCTAGATGGTGATGAACCTGATGCATCCAATTCATCTTCAATGTATTCATCTACTGTAGTTTTAGTCATTTCATCATCAATGTCATCTAGACTGTAGTCTGGATCATCATAACTAGGAGGTAGAACGCCGACTCCAGTGTGCTGTGGATAAAATGGATCAGTTACTGTTGTTGGAGATGAAGTTGTTCCTGGCTGTTGGTGTTGTTTATTAATTTGATTAGCTGTTGTATTATTATGCCACTGTGTTGGATTTGTCCATTCACGAGTATCTTTGTGTCCAACAACATCAGATGAACCAGGCAGATTGGGAGCTAAGGGCTATATGTGTATGCAAAAGTAAACGATTACTGATGAAATTATGAAATTATGATAGATTTCATCCAAAAAAAAAATTGAACAAGAGATGAAGTATGCCTACTCGAAATTGCTGCAACACTAGCTAAACCATGAAGAAGAATGACCTTCATTTTTATCTGAACTTACAAATGTCCTATATTGTGAAGTAGTTTTCTGTTACATTTTTTGAATAATCACAATTGTTGCATTCAAAGTCATTTCAATGTATAAAATGTCATAAGTGAGTTATCTGTAAAACGATTCAGTGATTTTCAATCCAGAAATCAGCTAAGAGAAATGTACACAATTACTTCCTTTGGTAGTTTTAAATGAAGGAAAGAAGAGATTAAATATACAAGTAGAACTTAGGCTGTACAGTAGTGTGCTAGATGGTTGGATGCAATTGGCAGGTAGCTCAGAACCTACGGTTAGTACATGCAAAAACTTATCACGTAGGAATTATTTGTGGTAGTATACAATTCAGCATTAATTTGTCTGTTGAATTTTCTACAGTGAAATTGCATTACTTACTAGATGGCTTTTTGGACGCAATTTAACCTTCTTATTTGCTTTAAAGGTAACTCTATAAATTTGATGGCTTTCTTATAGTTCTGTTTCTTCTTCTTCCTTCAAGGTAGGAATTGTAGTTTTCTAGATGGCTGGAACATATCTTAAGTTATTTGTATTGCTTATGTTTGGTGTTGATTCGATCAACAGAGTTTCAGTTATTATTCTCTCCATGAACTCTGTTAATTTAGTTTTGATAACGTTTTCCTATCCTACTGTGTAATTGTACGCACTGTTGTAACCAAGTTTTTCACACTGTTTTATCATTGCGATCTATTATTCTAGATTTGATCAAGTTCTTATGCTCCTTTAGTTTGACTAACCATGGTCAGCCAACGTAGTTATTGTCATAACCGTTTAAGTATTTGTGAGGAACTACCTAATTTTAAAGCTTGTTATTAATATAGACGAAAATGAACATAAGAGTCATTGAAAAGAAGAGAAGGCTAGTGAAAAGTTTTCTTTAAACTCCATTAGTGGGTATTACTGATTCCATACTGAAATTCAGAAGTTTGGAATGTTTGATTTCAATCTCTTGGCAGAGTGTATGCAAGGTGACCTGGAAATTTGTAGGTTCTAGTTATCCACAAGCAACTACAGAAAGAAAAATTTATGAAAATATCGTGAAATCCCTTTTTAATTGCTGTTTTTCGACAGTCCTTTTTGTAACATAATTTTGACAACTCCAAGCTTCTTTAATCCATTACTCGTGGATGATGAAACCCTTACAACCTGAGGTAACGGTAAATAGCTAGAGAGTAGCTGAAACCTTTCAGATTGCTCACACTTTACTCAAGATCTATACCACTTCATTAAAAAAACAACTCCACTCCCCATCAAGCTATTGAGATATTGTTCTAAAGACAATAAAAATGTTCATCCACCTAAAACCATACATACGGTTCCACAGTGCTAATTTAGTATTTCGTTATACAACTTTCAAACATTTACCATGAGTTTATCATTGAAGTTTTTATTTTTAAATTTCGTATTTACATCTGAAAAATTAACTTTATATATTATTACAACCCTAAAGGATAAAAATGAAATAACATTTTTAGCCAACTAACATACACTAGAAAGTTTGATTAAGATTATCATTAAAGTGTGAAGCCTATGCGCCTAAGAAACTCACGTTGATCTCTGAATCTTGGTAAAACTGTGGTTCATTGATCTAAAAGTTAGATTTTCTACTAGAAAGGTACGGATTAATGAGTTTGTTCCACCCATTAAGGTGAGCGTAGATAGGTATTATTCCCGAGTGGATCAACCTATTATTTATGGTTGCTGAGTTACATCTTTCATTATTCTGCTAAAATGTAAGCTAAAGGCCAATGATAGAAGACAGATTTCTATAAGATCAAATATACTTAAGGAATATGAAAACTAGTATTACTTGCTACACTCTAGGCGATACTGAGAAGCATCATGTGATAGCCATTTTAACAACCGGAACAAGTGTAGTGGCGAGGAAAAAACTCAAAATGTCCTAACTTGTCAGCAAAAGGACTAGAATACAAAATATCTTAAAATTTAGAAAATAGTAACGTAAAGGTAAATCACAAATAGTACACTAAAAATGAGATAGCGTGATAGCTGACAACCATGAGTAGATTACTTACTTTGCCTTGTGGTGTTTTATCTCTTGGACGATTAGTATCTTGTGGTGCCAAGTAATATGGACCTTCACCAGTTCCTTGGCCAAGAACTGTAATTCCCGACCCTCGAACTTGAGGTCTGTTACGACTAGGTAGAACAGGAGCAACAGATGATCGTGATGCAGAGGACTCTGGACCAGAGCCAGCTTGTATATTCACATAGAAAGTATAAGAACAAGAGGAAATTAATTAAGGGAACAGTGAATATCATTTGGACATTTTTTGAAAGATGTCTCGCAAACCTATCAAAATATGAGCTCCTAGACTTTACAAATCTATCCTGCAGGAAAAATACAACACGAAAACCTAAATAAATGTAGTTATCGTAAAACACTAGCCCAAGTTTCGTAGTAGTTAAATACAAGCATAAAACTAAAATCCATGAATTAATTATGTTAAGTATGCAAAACAAAATGTATCTTAATAATGCAGTATACTAGGATGATTGTCTACTATTTGAAGATGGTACATTTCTTGCTCCCTGTGGTGTAAGAAATTCGTATTTTGAATGAATAAGTGATAGCAATAGCTAGCTACAAGATCAATGGATCATAATACTATCGGCGTGGAGCTGCGGATCATTGGTCTGGGGAGATGACCTATCAACCAATGGGTTACAGTTTCGAGCTACACTCCACCTTAGGAGGTTTGGGCAGCTAGCTAATATCACTAGCCCTTACACAATACATATGCCTCATTGCCTACTGCATGGATGTGCACAAGGTGGCTGAGTGCGCGATTCGTATTTCGTAATACTATTGGGATTGTCTAGAAATCAACCCTTCTATGAATGTGATAAGAATAGTCCTCAAAAAAAGAAATCATAGTAAGTTAGATATACATAGGAATTCAAAAAACATGCACAATGACAAGATGGTAAAGAAAATCCACCTTTAGAAAAACATGATAAGAAAACAGGCATTTGAGTTTAATTCTGTCAACCTTAAGTCGACAATATTAACTGCTTAAGAAACTGGAATGTGCAAACGATTTAATATAGGGATTTTCTGTTCTTGATCACAAATCAACAGTTGATATACAATGCGCGTATAAATATCTTGAAGGCTTATTGGTATACATAATCAACTTCAAACGGATAAGTTAAGGGTAGGAACCCAGCTGTACCTATCGGGGTTTGAGCAGTCAGATAGTACCGATAGCCCTCACAAAGGCTGGAGCTAATTATTTACCGCGTATTTGTTGAGTGTATCTAGCATTAGAAGGATAAAGAAAACCGGCGAGAAGATACTAAGTGCACCTCTTATGCTTCAAATAATTAAATCGTATATCTAGGGGTTGATGTATTTAACCTCAGTCAAAATGTAAATATGATAACTCTTATTTTAGTATGGAATGCAGTTGACTAAGAATAAGGTGATACAGAAAATATCAACTATTTAACATTCCAAGGTCATGAGAAATTCATGTTCAGAAACTTGAGATTCTTAGTGGCCACTTCAACATATTTAAGTTTGACCAAATTGTCTAACAGCAAAGATTTCCATGAACAGAGAAAAAATCCAAGCCAAAACGAAATGCGAGAAGAGAAAACTGTAGTAAACCAAGTGGTAAAATAGCATTTTTAAACAGTTGATACTCAGTAATCCTGAAAGCATCAAAGTGAGGTTGACACCACTGAGAACTTTCCAAGCTTCCTGGTCTTTTCTATCGTCTAAAACTAGTATTTTTATTGCAAGTAAAGCCATAAATTGCCAAATTGATAAACAAGTACACAGCGAAGGACTAGATAGAATCCTTACCTACAATAGGTCAAGGTTTAACAGGAGGTTAGGAGAATGAAGTAGCACTAAGTTATTATCAGCAAATGAAATGTCTACCGATGTGAATACTAAGAAAAAGGTATAGGTAACCGAAAACGATGCAACAAGAAAAATTAGATTCCTAGGAGTTAGTCTAAATCACTTTAAAAAAGTGTATTTTTAAAGAATCTTCAAAGAGAAGATAAATAAATCTCTATGATGTCGAATATAAACATTGAACTCACATCACTCTACTTAGTTCTCAATACTTTAAGTGTTCGATTAACTTACTTGGAAACGAAATCAATAAACTGACTGGTCCGACGTCGCACTGCCTTAATAGATCAGCTTTTTGGGAGATATTGGCAGATAGCCTGGTAACTATTAAACTGTTAATTATCGATTACGGTATTTTACTTGGATGTGGGTGGCAGAAGAATCCAAGACGCGCGTTTCGTCCTATTTAGGACTCAGCAACTGGATGTACCTGCACCTCAGTGAATGATGTTGTTTGCACTAAGACAACGGAGAATTACAGGTACATCAACAAGAAGTTATGTTGAACGTGTGTTTTAAGAGATATATCACTTCGTCAAGATGTCAAATACAGCGATTATGGAAAAAGTTGTGAGATATCAGGGGGAAAATAGGTTCTTATGAACCTCATACAATCATCCTGAAAAGTGGTGGAAATAGGGTTTGATTGAAATATTCTAAAACGATATCTTTAGAAGTTAATGAAAATTGGAAGGAGTTTTATTCAGATACATACAACAGACTGAGAAATAAAAATTTAACGTTATAAGACTACAGAACAGGGAGGTGAATATGAAAGATGAATATTGCAGAGCAGATAATTTAATCGTTGAACAATCTATTCATCACCAACATATTAATCGCACTCTCCATTAAGATCAGTGGATAATTCCTACAGTAGTGTAAAACATCTGTTAAAACTAGATGATATCTACACATCGAGAGTTGGAAAAGTGGAAACAGCATCAAATAGTTCCGTATTTCCCAATATGAATATGGCCTACAACTCAGTAGATCGAGAGATTTCATGGCAGTATCCCTCAATAAATAGGGAAACATAAGTACATCACCCTGTTGAAGGCTCTATATCTTAACAACCATGAATACGTTAGACCCTATGGCACCGTTTGAGGTGACTTCTGTGAGTAGGATATAGTAAATCAGGCATCTTTCTTATCTTACTTAAATGTCATAGATGCGCGTATGGAGGTATACCTCCCCTTGACTGACTAAAAAGACTGCTTCAATTACAGACGACCTTTTGGCAGACCGCAGGTACACAGATGTAATAATAGCCCAAAGTGAAGATGCTGGTAAGACACAATTTTCCGCATAACTTGAATGGCAGACTAAAAATATTTAGGATAAGCTACTTATCCATCTAGTGTAAACCGTTCCTCCAGGGTTCATCTGTGTCGGTACATAAACCAAACAAAAAGGAGAAAGGGACCCAGTGCGTTGACAGCTTTATGCATTTGAGAAAAAATACCAGTCCTGCTACATCAGTGAACAGCATAACCTAATCACACATACAAATGAATCACTTGGCTCGTGTCAAATTAGACGAAACACAGCAACGTAATGATATGCTATCACCTACTAACTTATACACCACTATCAAATATGGCTACTAAAAGTGTGGAACATGAGAAGACATCAGGTGGTGAACCACCATCGCCTTCGTAGCTCAAGTAAGCAGTCATGCAACCACCAAGTGAAAAAATGCAAGAGTCGGGAGTAGAGTTTCAGACAGAAAACGATAGTCAGTTGGTATGGCTATGAACCATCATCAACCCACACGGCTTAGATATCTGTTGTATATACCCAGTCACCATCTGCCAAGACGTCGCACAATATAATTAAAGTAGGTTTAGGCTAGAAAAAGGTTAAAGGTGACGGGAATAAAGCATGACATCAGACCGCGAAGTCTACAACTGTTCGTCTAAGCCATGTATGGAAACGCAGGTATCAAGGTTAGATACCACATGACAAGGAAATCTTGGTGATACGGCTCACAATCGACCTCAGTGGATGAGATGCAACATGTTATCTTCGTCTTAATCGTCATACTAAATTTCTTTATGATTTCACTTCTCCTCGATCTCCTTTTATGATTTTTTATTACCACTTTGAATACCTTTCTTTCGTATTTCTTCATCTTTCATTTTGGTTCCTCCTACCTAGATGTGCATATGAGATGTCACAACTTGAATCGTTACGCAGTAGTGCCAGATCTCATGATGACATCCACTAACTGACCGAAAACACTGAAGTAGTGATACCAAGTGCTAATGGAATCTATGGACAAGGATTCTGATATTCCCTAGATACTAGATTCCGAAGCTTGAAGAGACTTGGGAATTATAACTCACATGTTCCAGAAGACTGTTTTAAATGTTAATCAGTCGGGCATAAAAAGATATACATACTTTTTACAAAATGTTTCTCTCTCTGGTAATAAATTGTACAGTTTTTTAGTTTGGGTTATGCTTGTTATGATTAGATTGACATTGGCATTCGATGCACACGTAGTAAAATCGATTTCTAGATGATTTTTTCAAAAAAGGTACCAGTAACATCCCACCTAATCCCCGAATTCGGTCATATCGTCTTACTTATAACTGTGTTATTGAAACATCAGTGCAAAGGAGTATCATTATTCCTCATGTAGCAAGTGTAATTTATAACTTGATATACAAATCACACATGGTTTTTGACTTGCTTTACTATTAGTATTGTTGTGTGGCGTCAAAAATTAGATTTCTATAACACACAAGAAGGTGAATAGAATTGATGCCACTGAACCCAATGCTGTTTTACTAGATAATAAGCCAGACTTGTTAGGTAAAAGACTTATGCTACTATTTAATCGGCCAGAACAAAGTTGCTAGAGTAAGGTTTTAATCTGAGACCTATTGCCTAGAAGTTAAACTCACTGGTCAATAAAACAAGTTAAAGAAATTTAACTTGACGGCTGACATAAAAATACATACACCATAGTATAGCGACGTAAGAAATCGTTTTGTCGACCTAATCTTTCGATTACCGCAAGCAGGAAATAAGCGAACTGATTTATTTTACACATTTTAATCACAGATAGTTAGTAAAAAGTCAGATTAAAGCAATAAATGATACAATAGTGTTACATTTATATGTTTTCATGATCGCTAACAGAAAGAGCTATTGAAATTATCACAGGCAATTACACAAAATATACACCCCACTAGCTTCACACGTTAACTACACCACAAAATAATTAAAAACAGTAGTACAAAAAAGCATGAATGCGAAATACAAAGTGATGTAAGGCTCTTTCTTAACAGCCTTCAATTCCCAACATATTTAAAAAC